TACAAACATTTGCACTGTAAAAAAGAAATTTCAATTCACCTCACGGAAGTACTGTAGTGCAATCTCTGCATCATGAAAGTTGAACTTACAAATGTAGAATTATGTAAAAAAAAAAATAACTGCACTGAACAATAAAACACTGTAAAACTTTAGAGCTCACAAGTCCACTTGGTCCTACTTCTTGTTCAGTCAATCGCTCAGACAAAGACCTGGTCTACGCTGGGGGGTGGGGGGATCGATCTAAGTTACGCAACTTCAGCCTCATAAATAACGTAGCTGAAGTCGATGTACTTAGAGCGACTTTCCGCGGTGTGTTCACTACGGTGAGTCGGCTGCTGCCGCTCCCCCGTCGACTCTGCCTGCACCTCTGGCGGTGGTGGAGTACAGGAGTCGACCGGAGAGCACTCGGGGGTCGATTTATCGCGTCTAGACTAGACACGATAAATCGAGCCCTGCTGGATCAATCGCTGCCTGCCGATCCGGTGGGTAGTGTAGACATACCCAAAGACGCATTCAGTGCTGGGGGAGGACGGGGGAGGAGGGAAGGAAGCAATGACGTGTGCAGGAGGAGGGTGAGGGAGGTGTCTTGCTGCCGCTTCTGGAAGGTGGTTTCTGTAACCAGGGAAAAATTAAATCTACGTGAACCCGAATGTGCCTCTGTTTCCCTTTTACAGGTACAGGGTCTTGGCCTTGCTATCAGGGTCTATCACCTGAGGAAGCAGCTCCTGTGTCCCACCCTCCCTCACACGTGTGGTGTAAGAAAAGAGGAGAGACAAAAGTAACGTTTGAAAGAGGGGAGTGTTGTATGAAGGGTTGATTACAAGACAGGGGTAAGGAGAAAAGCGTAAGCAACACAAACACTCCGCAACCAGTGGACTGCAACCAAGGAGCTTGAAGCTCAGGCCCAATTTACCCCTCCCTTGGCAACAAGAACAAAACAGATCCAACCCCCTCTATGGCCCCTGCTAATCCCATGTCATCTCTGGGCAGGGCAGATGGTGGCGAGTGGTGGGTGCAGGACGTTCTGCCCTCGGCCGAACGCCGGCCTTTGGGGAGAAACGCTGGATCTCGGCTGCTGGATGGTGACAAGCGGCTGGGCCCGGAGCTGCGGATGGACCAAAGGACCCTGGGTGGCAGGTCAGTTGTTGGTGTCACAGGATCCTTCCCAGCTCTCGATCCGGAGACCCGGGCAATAGCCTGACCGCACACGGCTGCCCCCCGGCCGGACAGCGCTGTGAAGACGGGGCACAGTTCTTTATAAGGCATGAGTGGCGGGAAAGCTCTGAGGGGACGGCAGTTACAAGCCACTTCCAACCGGTTTGAACCAGCTGTTCGCGCCACAGCTTTGGCTCCCTAATTTTCCTGCCTCAGGGGACAAAATGGAGATTTGACTCCATTTCGAAAAGTCCCAGAGTCCATATTGATGAGGGGGGAAACCATATAAAAAAACCTGATCCTAGACATTTAAAATAACTTATTATATAAAATCATCAACATACTGGGCTCGCCAGGCTGGCCTCCTTTTACTGAGCTAGGTGGGCTCCCTTCCGCTGAGCGAGCCCTTGTTTGCAAGGGAGGGTGGATTTGACCACAGGGACTCACCGTACTGCAGGGGAGGAGAGGCTGGTGCAGGGAGGCTGAGCTCACCAGGCCATGTTCTCTGTGGGGTACCCCGGAGCGAGCGGCCGGCTAGAGCAGTGGGGCACGACGCAGGGGGGTTGGTACCGGGAGTGAGGGGCCGGACGGGAACAATAGGGCCCGGGCTGGTTAGGGTGATGATACGTCCCGTTTTGGCCAGGACAGGCCCCTTGTCCAGCTCTGTCCCGGCCGTCCCTCCTTCTTCGCCAAACCTGGGCGTTTGTCCCGGCTGCCAGGCAGAGCAGAGAGAGGCGGCTGCTGCCCGGGGTGAGCTGAAGGCAGCAGTGCCCCTGCCCGCCAGCAGGGAAGTGGAGAATTTGCTGTTGGCGGGAGGTGCTGGCTTCACAGCTGAACTCTGGGCGGTGAGGAGCTTCAGGGCGGGGGTCCACCTCAGCTGGGGGAGGCGTGGAGCTCGGGGGGGGGGGGGAAGGATCAGCCCCTGAGCTCGGGATGGGGGTCAGTCCCAGCCCAGGCAGCACGGGACTCGGCGGGGGAGGGGTCAGCCCCAGCTGCAGGCGGCATGGGGAGGGCGGTGCGGGCGAGCCCTGCTAGCGGGGTGGGGGGCTGCTCCGGCGAGCCCCTGGCTGGGCTGTTGTTACCCCACTGTATGTGAGCTCGTAC